CTGTCTTGGTGAAATGGAAAGGTTTAACCAAGTGGTTGGAATTTTAAAAATCTATTGCTAAGAATGAATTGGCCCCTACTTTGTAACTATGCCTTGTCAGGTAGAAGGGCACATATAACATTATTCCTACCTTGAAAGCAATCACATTCCAGAAGAGAAGGTGAGATAAATATGCATTCAGTAATTGGTGAGCAGGCATGAGGTATAAGCAAATAGGAAAGAGCAAGCATTCCTGAAATCCAGCTGTTGGATTTCATACCTAAAGGCCTATCAGTGGGGGAGGTGAACTGGCGTCAGTACCTACATGGATTTTTTTTCAGGAACTGTATTTTGCACTAGATGTTGTGAGGAATACAAAACAGTGTAAATTCTATTTGTTGCCTTCAAGAAACATATTTGGGAATATGAGGTTAACATCCAAGAAAAGACACTAGAAGGCGAGGCAATAGGAATGTACTATTATTGACCAAGTCAAGCAGCCTGGGAAGTGATGAATGTGGGCTTTGTGGGTCATGGAGTGAGTCATGTATGAAATTGGTCCTAAGCTGGCATTGAAGGAGCAGTATATTTGAAGCATAGAGGAGAGGGATCTATTTGTAAAGGTAAGGCTTTGGGAATGGTTGTGTTCTGTGTGGGCTAATCCAGCCAAAGTGGAAGATTCAATTGGGCGGAAGATGGAGGAAAAAGCTGAAAGATGAGAGGAGAGGATAGATGGCTTTGAATGTCACCAGTGTATGCATTTTGCCATAGAAACCCAGATTTAGTATAGTATGATAAGGGCTAGAACCAGATACATTGCCAGTGATACTTTATGCAAAGATTTTTCTGGATATATTTGTGCATGTGCATTTGAAGGGGGGACAGGACAGTTATTTTTTTACCTGAGAGTTTTCACAGTTATCCTATAGTATTAACAGTTTTAAGGGCTATTTTGCTGTATTTCTTCATTATCTTTGCATATATTAAAGTATTTTTACATAGTTCTAAGCATGTGTTATATATTTTGCCTTTTTGCTTCATAAGATAATCCCCCTTCATACATTGCCATATAAACTGCTGAGGGTTTTAAGTAAGGCAAGCATTGTGACTTCATAGTCTTTCCGATTTGGGAAAGGCAGCTTTTATCAAGGTGTACATTCTGAACTGTGGGAATTTGGCAATATGCAATAATTTTTTTGGGTTTGTTTTTGATACTGGGGATTAAACTCAGGGACACTTGACCACCATCCCTAGCCTTCTTTTGCATTTTATTTAGAGATAGGGTCTCACTGAGTTGCTTAGTGCCTCACTTTTCCTGAGGCTACCTTTGAACTCATTATACTCCTGCCTCAGCCTCCCGAGTCACTGGGATTACAGGCATGCACCACTGCGCCCAGATGGCAATATACAATATTAATATGACTTACTGTTTCTGGGAAATTGGTGTAGTCTGCATCGAAATATTTCCCTGTGACTCCCTCTTCCATTAGTTAAGTGGAAATCTCATAACTAAATAGTTTCTCAGAGCCTTGTTGATTTCTTGCTGGACTCAGAGGATAACAGGTTACCTGTTGCACCTGAGAGATTCTTCACAGGGAGGATATGACCCACAGCTGAGGCTGGGCATGAGACTTTATTCTAAGGGGTTTCACTGTGAGTTGGCCCTGCAGCCTGGACTAAGCAGAGAAAGAGAAGTCATTCGGCTGCCTGCTGGATTTGTGGGACTCTGAATGGCCAATTTGCTAGGATTAGCAGAGGTCTGGCTTAATAAATGTGTCTGCTTGCCTAATAGATTTGAGTAAATGAACCTTAAAATACTTGATTTAATTTAGCATTGGGCACCCGATATCAGTGACCAATGAAGAACTCAAGAATCCTGCGGAGGGTTCCTACTTTGTAAGGAAGGTGAATTCAGCCATGATGCCATAACCACTGATGAAAAACAAAAGCAATTTGGAAAACAAAATTAGCTTCTGCCATTTCCCCAGCACAGAAGTCTGCGGCCTGCCACCCGGAGACCAAGCGTTTGCATTGAGCACAGTTTGTTTGCTGTGGCTCTGAGCCCTGACTGGCTGGCAGGATGGCCTGCGCTCCCCACCTCAGCTGGCATTCCCTCTGTCCCGCAGCCCTTCCTACTCACTTGGCCAACCATCTCCTAGGGAAGCAGCCAGATGGAGACAAGATCAAATCTGCTGGGACAGGAGGAGTTCCACTCCTCTCAGAGTAGGTACCATGGCCTAGCAGAGCACCACCACCTGAGTCTTGAGATAAGAAGAGTGTGCAGGAAAAGGGGAAGAGGGCCATGTACGCCACTCAGAGCTGAGGAGGATGACATGGAAGGATGAATGTTTCCTAAAATCTCTTAAGAGAGACAAACGCCTGGTGGTGAGAGGTGGGGTGGGATGAAGGACAGCTTAGCAAACCAATATGGAAGGGCAATGTAGTACAGTCAGGGTCAGAGGGTCATTCAAAGGAGTCAGGGAAAATAAAATCACATGGATATTCCTTGGATAATTTTTTTTCCTAGTATTTTATTATGAACAATTTCAGACATACAATGGAGTCAAGAGAATTTTTCAGTGAGCATCCACATATCCACCACCTACTGTAGTCTGCCATTAACAGTCTGCTTGTTTTGTCACATGTCAATCTGTCCGTCCATCTCTGTTTCTAGATTTTTTGATTCATTTCAATGTAAATGTAAGAAACCTATATACTTTACCCTAAGCGATTCAACTTGCAAATTGTTAAATATAGTTCAAGATTTCTTGACATACTTTCTCCCAGGTGAGCATAAAATGAGTAATAAAACGTTCCTTCTCTTGTAGATATAAATACACTTATACACATGTATACATAAAATACCTCGTTATTTGTTCTTTTCATTATGTGAATGTACTCTGATTCATTTATTTTCCTATGGAGGAATTCCTTGCCTATTCCCAGTTTTCAGCTGTCATGAATGAGCTGCTGTGAACTTTTTCAAATTATTATTTTGGATATCTGTTTTCTCTTCACGAAATTTCCAGAATGGCAATTGCCAAATCAAAACATGTTAAATGATACAACCTCTTTGAAAAAAAGTTCTTGCAAATTCTTATAAAAATCTAACTTTGTTCCACATGGTTGTAGTGTTTTGCATTCCTCTGTATGAGCATTCTAGCTTACTCTTTGTATGTTATAGGAGAGTTCTAGTTTACTCTTCCCTCTTCAGCCTTATTCCTTATTATCATTTCAAAATATTAGCCATTCTGCTAAATGTTTGGAGCCATCTTGTTTTTAAAGGTTGGTAACTAAGGTAATTAAGCAACTTCTGATAGATAAGCTACGACCAGTAGAAACTACATATTTTGCCTAAACCTCAGATTCTGCATGCTGAATAAAAATCATCACCAATCTTTAAACCAATCCATTTATTTAACAGATAAAGAAGGCTGAGAATGGGGACCATTTTAACCAAGGTCATTTCATTAAACATTAAACAGAGCCAGAGTTTGAAGTCACTGTTCTTGTCAACTAGAGATGGCAACCATCTGGTACCCATGTTATTCTCTTGTTCCATGAGATAGCTCAACTAGACTTCACAGGACTTAAACAGTCATGGTGTCACAGTGGTGCACATGACAGACCTACTTGCACCTCATCCTTTATTTAATCCAGCAGGACATACCCTGTGTGCATCATCAGGGAGCCATAAATATGGATGAATACCTGAACCCTGTGGCTTACCCTTAATTGAGGAAAAGAATGTGCCTCTTTATGTGCTTCTTTTCTTCTTATTATTTAGCAAGCGGAGAAGAAAGGGTGTCAGAAATTTAGGGCAATATCTCTAATTCTGCTCAGCTCTAACCATAAGCCTGGTCATAAAATAGAGCTATATAATTTTAAAGCAGAGAAAAAAATCAAATTATTGTTTCTGGGGCTCAGTCAAAAATTGTGATCTGGAATGAAATTTAAGCCTTGCAGAGGAAACACTACCTGAAAGTTGCACCTTAAAGCTTCTGTGGGGCTCTGTGCCGGCATCCAGCCATGCACGGGTATGCTGGGTGAGTGCTGGTCCATGTCCACTCCTTAAAGTGCAGCTCTGTGCACTCTCCAACCATCTACATTATTATTCTCTATCCAGTTGTCCTGGCACACAGAGAAGAAAAGCAAGTCCTCTCCTCTCTGCTTGTGGAGTCTCTTTATTTATCAGCTGCCTTAGCTCAGTCTCCTACTGTTATGTCTTACTTTCCAAACAAGAGAGGCCTGTGCTTTCAGATGACCACTGGATAATGACTCTTCAATCTCAGGATCTGCCTTTTCTCTCCAAAAAGCACCTGCTCTTATCAAGATCCTAATTCTCAGAGGAAAAAAGCACAATTATGGTACTTTTCTTTTTATCTTTGAGATGTCCCTATCTATGATGATCATCAGGAAAGACAAAAGGAAAAAATAAAAGATTAAAAACATGATCACAGATATGCATGTTTATATATTTTCTTACCTACTGCCTTAGGATAGAAGATACATATAATAAAATGAATAGTCAATAGCATGACTATGCATCCAACTTACCTGTTATATGAAGGACAGGTGCTGAGGGCAGGTGATACCAAATAAGTAAAATGTGATCACTCTCCCGAAAGGTCACATAGTCCAATGGAAATCAGAATGAAAACATAAGTGACAGCAGATACTCTTCCTTTTGAAACACATTGCAAACACTGCTTCTGCCTTCCCCTAGGAGAAAGAATAGAGTGACGTAAGAACTCATGAGTGTCCAGTCTTACCCCCATTTCTCTGGATTAACATTTTATAATGTGTTTCGTGTCTCTTAATATTCATCCAGGATCCTGAAAGAATTATTACAGTTTTAGGAAGTTGTATAAAACTGCCTCCCACCCCACCATTTCCAAGTTAGGATCACCTGGGATCTAGTCTGCTGTACAGATCTGTGTCATTCCGAGATTTACAGAAAAGGAAGGAAACCTTCTATCCCACAGAGATTAAATGGGTGCTGTTACTTCTCTTTTCCGCAGCCCCTCATCACCTTGGACAGCAGCACTTCCTTCACATTCCTGGCAGAGGGAACCAACACCATCACTGTCCAGGTGGCTGCCGGGAATGCCCTCATCCAGGACACTAAAGATATTGCAGTTCATGGTAAGCCCTAAGAATTGTCTTCGGATGCCCCCTCCTGCCCAGCCAACTCCCTGTACCCACCCTTGTAGCAGTCACTGACTGTTAGAACCTCCCCAGGCCTAAGGAAAATGAAGGAGGTTCACAGAGGCATTCGGATCTACCTCCTAACTTGTTCCCAGATAGAGGATTCAGGCTATCAGGGAAGGAGATCACAGGCACGTATGTGTTTTCCACAGCAGTGTGTGTCTGCACTGCAATCTGTTTGAGGTTCTCATTAGACAGATTCATGTATCATAAGTTGAGAGAATGCTCAGCTGGAAGACTGTCATAGAAGGAGCTAGTGCTGATGTCCTGCTGAGGTATCCATAATGCACATGCAACACCCATTGTCTGTGAGAGGGGACCAGTGATTTCCAAAGCTGGGGGAGTCACTATCCCTCCCCTTGCAGAACTCATAGCCCCAGTAATGAGATGGCCTACCCAGAACTGATGTGTTTTCTAGGTTGTTGGAGGTTCTAACAATATTGCCTGGAAAGGCTTGATTATACGGCTAAGAATATAAGCTTGAAGAAAGTGATAAACAGGATCCCCCTTTTCTTCTCATTCTTGCAGAACCACTCCTAATCACTAAATTTTTTTAAATCAAATTGATTATGCTACCACTACCACATCACACAACCCGCCCGCAGTCCCCTGGATATAGCCACTATCATTGTATTTTTATGGAAAGTTGTTCTAAGGTATGTGAGCCTCTGACTCAGACTATATTTCTTCAGGCTCATCTAGGTGAGTTGCTTTTCCTACCTCTCTGCAAATCTGCTGCTCAGTCTCTTTTTTGGGTACATAGAAGTTTTATTTTTAAGTAAACATTTTTATTGGAGTATAAATTGTATACAGAAAAAATATATGGACCACAAATGTTTAGCTTCATGAATTACCCCAAAGTGAATAAAGCAGTTGTACTCCCCAACCAGGTCAAGACACTGAAGGTTACACACACCCTAGAGACAAGATTTCAACCTACTCTCTCATCCTCTGAGGCAGTTTCTAGCCTCCATCCCAACCCAGCCCAAAGGGTTAGTGCCTTTGGTTGGCCCTGTGTGACAGATACCACCTACAGGAGCAGAAGCCTCTTTCTGGAGTCCCATGCTTGTGATTCATTTCATTACTACTCTTTACGAGAAGAAAGGCTTAAGATCCTAGGAACTGAAAATACCAGCAGAAGCCGAAAGCTACTTCCAACTCTCAAATTCCATTTTATTTCAGAAGCCAAGACATAGACTAAAAATAAGGATTTACAGTTGAATCCTCAGGGAAGAGCCAAGCCTTGCAGAGCCCCTTACCCCCCAGACCCCCTCTCATCTCACTCTGCCAGCTTCACTTGTGTGTTTCTTCTCCTCTCAGAATACTTCCAGTCCCAGCTCTTGTCCTTCTCTCCCAATCTGGATTTTCACAACCCTGACATTCCCGAGTGGAGGCAAGACATTGGCAATGTCATCAAGAAAGCCCTGGTTAAAGTAAGTTGGGTTTATCTTTGTTTAAGTTTGTGAACAAGAGAACTTGATGGAATCCATAAGAACTGAAAACACTATTCTGCAGATAGATAAGTTTTGTTTCTCTATGAAAAGAGAGAAAGAGGGAAAGAATGGGTGGAGTAGCAGGGAGGAAGGAGGAAAGAGGGGAGAAAAAGAGGAGAGAGAAGGAGAGAGTTCAGTCTAGTGTTTGAAGATGTAAATTGACCCACTGCTTATCCAAACATTTCTGAGACAGGGGCTTGACCTTTTTAGAGGACTAGTGGATGGACCATTTAGTGAGTCCATACTAATAGCATGCACTTAGGTATATCTTTGACCATGAATAGATATTCACAGATATATAGAATCCCCAGACCACCCTTGGCCATTCATGGCTCTCAGGAGACTACGGGCCAGGAAACAGCGTTCTACCAGAGAGACAGAGCTGAAGATTTATCCCAGGGTCACAATTGCCTTAGAGAAAGTAAGAATTCTGTTAGCCTCTGTCAAAACTAGGTACTAGAATCTGACAAACAAAACACGGTTAGTTCAAATGTAAAAACATGTCTGATGTGTAGTTTGTAACCAGAGTCTCCATGGAGTATAGAGAAACGTGTGATTTGTACCAGCCAGTAAAGTGCAAGCCTGACATGGATGGATTTGTGATTCAACAAAAAGCTCACTGAACTATTGGAATCATTTTGGAGGGGATATTTGAGCTATTATACATATAAGGATATATGTCAGTTAACAGGGAGGGGAAAGCATCTTTCAGGTAGCATGAAATCCATGGACTTCTGAGGAGTATGCCCTGTTGGGAAATGGCATTGGGTTTGTGTCCTCAGTCTATTACTTAGAGAACAAGCCTGGCTAAAGTTGAGCTAAATGGTTAGGATGGACTGTGAAGTGTCTGAAGCTAACTGGTAGTTGCCGTCTGTTCTTCAGGCAGTGGAGAGTGTGAAAAGTATTATTTTTTTCTTTAGGTAACAAGATGCTGTCAATAGGTTTATATGTCAGGCTCCCCTTCTGGTGGCAATGCAGAGGAAAGCCTGCTGGGAAATCAGGGAGGGTACAGAGTAGGGAAGATATTTCACCAAAGATGACCCGTTGAAAGGCCACTGCAGTACTCAGTTACCTCAACCAGGAATAATAAGATCCCGAAAAGGAGTCCAAGCCTACTTAGGAAGTTGAACAGTTGGGTTACTGATTAATAAATGCAATGAAACAGAGGGAGAAGCCTTTTGGTTACTAGAGTAAGTAGGAGATGGCCTTGCATTAACCAAGATAGGGACTGTTTAGGAGAAATATACTCAGGGAACAATGATGTTTTTATGAGTTTGGAGCACATGAAAAGTGTTTACGTAAAGTGCACAAGAGAGTTGAAAATGGGGGTCTGAAAGCCAAGCAGAGGGTCATACCAGAAGCAGACATTTTGGAGCTGAGGCCTAAGGGGAGTGGGGGTCAAGGAAGTCATGACTGCTCATGCTCCCAAGGGAGAAATGAAAGACCCCAGGAAAAACATGGAAAAGGAGCAGCCTGCATCAATGAGAAGGATATAAAAGCATTCCTGTAGGAACTGACTACAAGAGGAACATTAAACCTTTTATTAAAAGATTGTTCTTAAGAAGAAGTGAAAAAGAGACTGCTATGTGTGCTGTCTTCTCTTCATCTGTTCAGGCTGCTGTAACGAGGCACCATAGATTAGATGGTTCATAAGCAACAGAAATTACTTCTCACAGTTCTGGAGACCAGAAAGTCCAAGATGGAGGCACCAGCCTATCTGATGTCTAGTAAGAGCCTGTTCCCTGATTCAAAGATGACACTTTCTTACTAGGTTCATGTGGTAGAAAAAAGGCAAAGCAGCTCTTTGTGACCTCAGTGCACTAACTCTATTCACAAGGGCACCACCCCCATGATTTAATCACCTTCCAAAGGCCCCACCTCCTACTCCAACACAGGAGTGGCCAGGTTTTAAGCATATGAATTATAGGAAGAGAAACAATCACATTGTAGCATATGTTTTTGATTGTGAGGCACCCAAATTGGGCAGCATTTTATAGGGTTGCATTTATTAAAAACTTACACATTTTTTAGAAATAACTTGGTAATTACAACAGTGCTACTACTAAATAATAATAATTATCCATGTCATTGATGCCTAGCCCTTAAGTTTCATGAGGACAAATCACTTGCATGTCCCTCTACACAGGATTCAGTGAATCTAGATGCATAGTTTTGATCCTAGAGACAAAGGGTCAAAAGCATCATAGTAACCAAGACATGGAGAGGCTCCTCCCACTTGACTCCATTGTGTGGTTCTCAACATTTTGCTTCTTCTTCTGGTCTCCTGAGACTTGCTACCCCTGGCTGTTTAGGATAAAGTCTTCTACCCAACGTACTAGGTCACTGAGACTTCCAGCTACTCCAGGGCGTGCCTCAGAGCAGGACAGTGAGGCATCTGGCATTTCAAGTGGATGCTTCTCTGATGGATGGGATTTTTAGGCTTCTGTGCTGCTTCTTACTCTCCTGTAGGCTGGCTCTCTTGCTTTTGTTTATCACAACCCTGAACGTTAACTCCAATCTGGAAACCACGTTCCAAATAGGAATCAGAGCTGAGCAAATGGGAAACGACCTATCCTCTGCTTCTATTCAATTCAGCAGCTATTAATTGATTTTCTCCTCTGTCAGGGATCTTTCAGAGCAGCTAGGTAGCCTCAAAGAACTCCAGGAATGTTTGGGCAACAGCACACTAGGAACCTATCGGGGGCAACACTGTGCCATATAGATGTAATCACATGCCACAGTGGACATGGTCTCTGTTCTTGAAATGTGATGGGCATGATGATGGGCAATATGGCTTCAGCACCATAGTGAAAATACAAATAACCTGGACAGAAGCAGATCTCAAATGGATCAGCCAGCTTTTCTTCATTCTGCAGCAAAGTCAATCCATCAGGCATGGAAGGGCTCATTTTCTGGATACAGAAATGGCCCCCAGGTTACAGAAGGAGTCTGGGTTTTATACTTTACAATGAGGGTGAATTAATCATTGGAGACTGCATATGTGCTGTTTGGCCAGTCGGGGACCTACTTGTGCAGGTTAAAATTTTAACTCAGGAAGGCAGTTGTAAAAAGTTTGAAACTCATTGTCACTGGGAACAGCTCAGAACTTGGTGTTCACTGCTTATCTTCCTTCCTCTGGGACCCATTGATACCTGGAGCTTCACTATTTGCTTTTCTCCTTCCAGGACTCATCTGCAATGGGAAAGGGTAAGAGTCGAAGGCCCAGCATTTCAGTATCACCTCTTCCCGTTTAGGACCCACTGTGGTTGGGAAGGGGTAAATGTTTGCTTTTGGTGGAGATGCTGGGGATGAACCCTGGAAGGAATGAAAGTTTGCTAATTTCCCCCTCCTTCCTCCTGAGCTACACTGTCCCTCCATTTTTTTCCGGGGGGGTGGGTGGGAATTGTCTTTGAAGGACCTTGGTTGGGAGGCTGAAGTGGAAATCATCATAGGCAGATACAGTCAAGGGAAACTGTCAAGGCGGTAATTCAGCTGCATCTAATTATCACTCATATTGTATGATTAGAAGAAGCAGTCAGTGTTGTTCTGGACAAAAGAACTTCAAGAGCCAGGCGCAGTGGCACATGCCTGTAATCTCAATGGCTTGGGAGGCTGAGGCAGGAGGATTAAGAATTCAAAGCCAGCCTCAGCAAAAGTGAGGTGCTAAGCAACTCAGTGAGACCCTTTTTCTAAATTAACACAAAATAGGACTGGGGATGTGACTCAGTGGTTGAATGTCACTGAGTTCAATCTCTGGTACCCGCTCCATGCACCCCCCCAAAAAAAATGACCTTCAAGAGACACAAAAGAAAGAATAGCAGTGGGCACACTATTTGTTTGTTCTCACTTTTTTTTTTCTTTTTTCTTTTCTCTTTGGTCTCCAGGAATTGGCCTTAAGATAGAAGCTAATGTTTAGTTTTTTATCACAAAAACAATATAATCCTTTTATTAAACACTCAGGAATAGAACAATTCACTCATCATCTCAGCCTCTTAACTTTTAGTATTCGGGATCTTTTTTTTCAGTACATTTGTATTTTTATAGACTTGTAACCAAAGGAAATAGACCAAAATGCAGCCATCTGAAGTGTTTTTCCATGTTGCCTCCTGGTGTTGATTATCATCTTAAAGCTAGAATAATATTGTATCAGGTGATTGTACTGGAATTTACTTCATGTTTTTTGAATATTTGAGTTTTTCCTCTTTATTTACTATTCGATGTAATGTCCTACTTTTTCCTGCCTATGGCCTTTCCCTACATTCTGGATCACGTCTTCAGGACTCACCCACAAAGTGTTAAAGCTACCAGATGAAGGTTATGCATGTTTTCATGGACTTAATGTGAGTCTTTTAGAAAACAAATTGGTGATATGTATCAATTTTTAGTGCTGCCAGCAAGAAATGAGGCAGCCTCCTCCGCTGCAGCCACACCAACATTAGCCATTAAACTTTTTTAAAATCCTGCTTTAAGAAGTGAAAACAAGTAGTGCTCGGCTATTTTTTAAATTTGCATTTTCCCGTGTTTGTGTATAACTGCTTATTCCTCATTTGCAGCCAGTCTGTTCGTGTTTTAGCCAGAAGCCCTAGTCCTTAGTGCAGAAAAAAATGGAAAATATGGGATTGCAAATGCTCCCAGCAATGTTTTGAAGATCATTTATAATACTATTTTAGTTTCAGTTAGAAAAGAAAAAGAGCATAGCAAGAGGGGAAACTAATAACTCTTTACCTAGCAGTTTTAGAGAAAAAGAGAAAGCAAGCCTAAGATGGTGAATTTAAAACATCCGTACAAGCCCCAAAGCTGTGTGTCCTCTGCTTCTGGCTGCTATTTGTGCACGTCTCTCCCCAGGACCTCACTCTTTGGTCTGTATACTTTGCAGGTGACCAGTGTCCCAGAAGACCAGGTCCTTGTTGCTGTGTTCCCTGGCCTCCCCACCTCAGCAGAGCTTTTCATCCTCCCACCCAAGAACTTGACAGAGAGGAGGAAAGGCCACGAAGGAGACCTAGAACAAGTAAGCGAAAACTTGGCCGGGACACTTGCCTGCAGCCCAAGCTCTGAGGGGCATAAGTTGTTTCCAGCCAAAAAGGGAGAGAAGCCATCACCCATTGACCCACCAGGGTGTAGCTCTTTGCCCAACACCCAGGGTTTGGAAGAACCAGCCATCAGTCTTGCCCAGAATGAGCAAAATGCAAATAGCACGGAGCACTCTGCCACACCGGAAGGAACAGCACCTCTGAAACAGGGACACTGACCTTGGCACCAAGGTGAATGAGTCAGGTGGAACTGAGTCTTCCAATATGGTGCCCCTGCACTTTGCTCATATCTCCCTACAGTGACTCATCCTGGTATGGCAGAGCGGTGGCAGAGAAAGTCAGATAGAAAGATACACAGAGAAAGGCGTACAGAGGCAAAGGGCTTTGAGTTCCCCTATGTGCTCATGGAAAAATATGTTTCTTGTCTTTAAACTGTGCTGGCTCTGGAGGTCCTGGTTAATTTAAGTTTCCCTTCTGGAGAGAGAATGAACTGCTTTTAAACATGTCTCTTGGAGAGAGATGGATGGCCTCATCTTACTTTGACTAAAGAAGCAGTATTTCCAAGAGGGAATGTGATTCACTGTCTTTATCAAATGGGCTCTTGGTCCTGTGATCTACGCATCATCCTGGGAGCAAAGGAGGGGCAGGTCTCGAGTTTCTCCCGCCACTCACTGTTCCTATTGGGGTCTCATTGGCTGTACTCTGTGTCACCCTTCCCTGCCTTCCCATGGTGCTAAATCAGGGGACGTGAAAGAGAGCAAGGACCAGGCTGCTGAAGGTCAGTGTGAATCAAACGACGTTTGCTCCTGTGTGCAGTAACCATTGTACAGACCCTTCTGTGTCCCTCAGGTACTCACCTGGCCCAGCTGTCACCCATCACTACACCCATCCACAGCCTTGAGCAGTATAAATGGCATCACAGTCCACTTCTCTGGAAGAAGAAACTGTTCCCTTACGTTGTAGGGTTGCGTGTTGAAGTTGGCCAGAAATACATTCAGCTTCTCAACGCACACATCACTTTTATAAGACCTCTTTATTCTGAAATAGCAAGTGGCATGTGTGAACTATATTTGGAAGCTACAATATCCATCCATTTAGATAAATAGGTAATTACGGTGATGAATAGCAGCTGTGATATTAAGGCGCATACAGCGAGATAAGAGTTAGGGACAACAGCCTAAGTCCGCCTCAGCTTTCATGTGGGAATTACAGAGTGATTAAATCGATGTTATGTGTTCTGAGACTTGCTGGAGAAAAGTAAAGAGGAAAAATTATCCCATAAAAACGAGGCAGCTTCTGCTTTGATGTTTGCCTCCCATTGTCTCTGAGATGGAAACGAGGGAGGAGTGGGCTGGGGATGTACGTGCCTGCTTTAATCCCAGCAGGGTCCTCGGTACCCTGTGCGTGTTACTTGATCAGATTAAAGAGCTAATGATGAGTTGACTTTCTTTCATTGGAACCCTCAACAGGTCTGGTTCTGAAGGCAGGGATGAAAGAGCGCTGAGCAAGGAGTGGAGTGGCAAACCCCCATCTGTCCGGGCTCTAATACATGGGGTGACCGTGGGCACACCACCTTCTGCCTCTCCCCTCTCCAGCATAAGCAAATGATACCACTCACTTCATTGGCTGCACAGGGCTCTGATGGCTGGAGAAAAAAGTTGATAAAGATGTTCCAATATCCAGTTCCCAGAATGAACATGGTCATTTTTGGTCAGTTCACCCATGAAGGAGCATTGTTGCATTTCACAGCTTTCTCTACAGCCTCTCTCTCCTTTCTTTCAGATTGTAGAGATACTGTTTAATGCTCTAAACCAGAACTTGGTCCAGTTTGAGCTGAAACCAGGGGTCCAGGTCATTGTGTATGTCACACAGCTGACATTAGGTGAGTGAGTGTCTGTTGGGAGTCAGGGGGACATGGGTACCATGCAGAGAAAAGGAAAGAGATAATCACCCAAAAGTTTTGCCATAAATGCCTGAAAGTTTGGTGTTGTAATGAAGCACTTATTTGACAGTTCAGAAAGATTAATCATGTGTCTCTTGAGGAGTTCCGAGTGGGTAGCAGGAAGACCTTCTTAGGAGTGCCTTTGCCATCAATCTTGTTTGTTACTGGAGAAAGCATACGATTTCCTTGGATCTTGACTTGATGTATTTACTTAATTATTTTTCTTTGCAACAATTAGGATTGCAATGGATATTCATTGGGCTCCCTTAATTTCTTAGATTCTATGATCCCATGAATTTTAGTGGGAATGTAAGATTAGAAAACTTTAGAATCATCAAACATCCAATTTAAAATGTATGAATCTGGTAGAAATGGAGACTAGCTCTACTTGGTTGATTTATGAAAGGAATAAAAAGCATGTCACAGTGGGCATTTGCTGCTAGCTCTCTTGTTAATCTAAGACATGTACAGGCTCCATGTGTGTTCATCCAGGGGTGCTTCACCAGAACCTTGCAGAGGAAGAGAGTGAAACATGGCTTTAGTGTTTAGCCAAAGTTCCCAGTGGACTGCCGCATTGGCACACAGGCTGTTGCAAAGAAAAAGCACACAAGTCCTTCTTCTCCCTCATCTGGACACACTTTACTCAATTTATATCAAGAATGGCAAGGTGCCCCAGGCACAGCCAAGGAGTTCACTTTCCCTTGAAATCTGTGATCAAGGGTACCATTCTCATTTTTGAAGCCAGGCTTCCTGTACACAGATTGCATGCAGGGTGATTGGGGACTGGACGTAAGGGTGGAGAGCAGATAGTTGGCTGCTTGGCATCTGCCCAGTTACTAACTTCCAACTGAGCATTCTTCTTCCCTCCTAGCTCCACTAGTGGATTCCAGTGCTGGTCACAGCAGCTCCGCCATGTTGATGCTCTTGTCAGTGGTGTTTGTTGGCCTGGCTGTGTTTTTGATCTACAAGTTTAAAAGGTATGTTGGATTTTCACTCACTTTATCTCAGGACCAGGTTTACTGCAGATGATTTTTCTGTTAACCAACTTTCCTAAACTCATCTCAAGAGTCTGTCCTTAATTCTCCTTGAAGTAGTGTCTGACATTGGGGGAAAACAGGAATGGTTGGGGGTGAGGGATTATATGGTTTTAAGAATCTGACTTCTCTCCACTTCAGAGGTATATGGAGTTAGGCAAATAAAGGCTAGCCTTGACATCCATTTACTCTGCTTAATAGAAAAAGTGTAAGAAGTTTTCAGACCTCACACAGATTTTTCAAGTGAGGTCCCAAGTACTCAACAGATCCTTTTATGCAGATCAACACCCATTCAGAGTGGTTAAGAAGAGACATTGCAGCTGAAATCTGATATGCATATGGACAGACACACACTCATTTTCTTTTCTCAGGTTGTAGCCATCCAATATCTCTACTTAAATTTGCCTTCAACCTTTTCTCACTTCTTCCTTTTTCTAAGGAAATTGATCAGGGAAACTAAACTCAGCATGTGTTCAGAAGTCCTTTTTAAAGCCCACAGGAGGGGAGATATAACAGGGTACTTACTGAAAATATGAAATTGAAATTAACAAACCTATACTAATATTCAAGTTATGCAATACTCCTCCTAGGACGGGTATAGGTTAAGAGTGTGAACTCTAAACTGAGAATCAACTTTTACCATTTATAACCTTGGGCAATTGTGTTTGTCTCTCTAAGCCTTAGTTTTCTTATCTGTAAAATATGGTTTTGCTATATGGTTGACATGTAATAATAGCTATGACTGATGCATATTTTACTATAAAAGAAGGCTAAGGACTTGTAAATAACAAAGGGCATGTCTTCCAAAGATGCTTCTTGTGTCATCAACTGGCACACAGTAGGCTCTCAAAAAACATATCTGTGGCATGGATATGTGCTTCTCATGAAGCCTAGGTAAAATGAAAATGTCATTTATTATCACATGACTTCTGAATGCCTGGCTTTGCTCTAGGATTGTACCTGGGAGGTAGACTTTCAGATTTTGGAAGAGATTAGTGGAAAAGGTGCTTTCCTCTTCTGACATCTTTTCTCACGCCATACCCTCCCCTAGTGGTTATCTCAAAAAAAAAAAAAATCAATATACCTCTCAATATTAGCCACACTGGCAAGAAGCCTTCAATACCCACTCATACCCACCAGAAGTGCAAAGTATAATTTACCTTGGTAGTCAGTTTATAGACCTGTGTGTGAGTTCATGTCCTTCTGGATGGAGAAGGGTCAACCCATGTACCCTGTTCCCTTTGAAGAGAGGTAAAACCTGCACTTCATAAGTCAAGAGAAAAGGTTCAATATGGAAATGGTCTGGTGAAGGCAGCTACCCATTTATGCATTACTTCCATTCTATGCAAACAAGACTTTGACTCATCCAAGGATTTGATTGTGGGGACGCCTGGTGATTGCTGGGATTTGAAGAGCAGCTAAACCAAATTTATTGCCTCTGCCTCCTAGACCTCAGTGGTTGCTGAGGACAAGTGCCAATAGGAGTCCTGATAAGAGGCATTTGTGTCTGGCATGCATCTCCAAATTAAAGCCAGACTTACCCTGTGATTTAGAAAGCCTCTGTTCTTTTATAAATGCGGCTGTACTCCCTAGACAGTCAACTTATTACTGTAGGCATGCCAGGTAATGACATCTCTGAACTCTTTCCCTTTGTAGTTCCCAATTATTGGCCAGTCCTTTCTAACTCACTGACAGTGGATCATGCAGCTAAGTCTACAGGAAACGAATACCAGTCCAGCTGGATAAACAGCAGAGTCAGCTACAAGTAACCAGTCACTGGTTAACCTTGACTTTTCTATCCTCTTTTTACTGGATGTTTTCCTCCTAGGGCTCAAGCCATTTGGTTGAGAGTTGGTTGGATTTTTTTTTTATCTTTTTCCCCTTCTTCATCATATAGAACCCCATTGATGGCTATGTGGAGGATGCCCAGCTTGCAGGCAAATAAGGTCAGGTTCTTACTCCTGGGTTCCCTAATAGAATGTTCTGCAACAATGAAAATGTTCTGTAATCTGTGCTCTACTCTAATGGCCACTAGTGTGATTGTGAACTGAATTTTAAATTTTAAGTCTAATTAATTGAAATGTGAGTAGCTTTACCTGGTTAGTAAACATCCTGTTGAACAGCCTAGTCTAGGTAAAGGGCAATTCTATTTCTGTTTCCAGAATATTTGCTATGCTGAGTTTTCAGAACCAAAACTTCCCCTCTGTAATGAATTTAAACATGTAATATTCAACAAACATTTATTGAGTTCCTACTATGTGCCAAGCACTGAAAAACCATCTCCTTGTCCCAACTAGTCACTTAGGAGGACAATCACCCCAATCCCCAGACCTCCTTCAAGTAAATATCACCCTGCCTCTTACACTGCATCTTGTTCTCAGTGAACGCCATATGTCTTACCAATATAATTAAAAATCACTGTGAGATGGCTTTTGCTTTCTGAAAACTGCGTAACAAGACCCCTTTAAAAAAAAAATAACTCTAGATACACTTTTTCTGGTTATCCAAGAAAATGTTTGAGCCTTTATATTTGCTCCTATCTTTTTTTTTCGGTGGGGCTTTCATTATAGTTCAAAGTCTACTTTGCTCTCAGAGGCTTCCAGCGTGCTTCATAGCTGGAGCAAATGAATATAAACCACAGTTGTTTTTTTTTATTTGTTTGCTTGCTTTTGTAGAAGACTTGGGCTTATCCATCTTACTCTCCTTTTTAAACCTGTCTGAATGTGTGGCCCAGGACCTATCCCTTGATCTCTTTATGCAAAAGCGGGGTTCCGATTCAACTTATATCCTTGAAAGTCCTACAAACAGATATGTTAAGAAATGAAAAGCAACTTGACAGCTTTTTAGAATTCTGCAAATTGTGTTAGAAAAAAGTCAGTACCTTACAACCATCTAGTTGGAATGGTGAAAATATGCCTATTTTTCTGATGTCTTTTCTAGGGATTGAAATAAAGTGAACAATCATCATAAGGGCTAATTCATCCAAATCCTCTTAGGGGGTCTTTTGTCAAGCAAGAGGGGAGGCAATGAATTGTGTTAACAACTCCAAAGCGCAGGAAGGGTATGACTGCCCCCAGCACCTAGTTCAATATAATAGTTGATGCCAACATTCATGAATAACATGTAGTTTTATGATCAGAAGAAATCTAAGTCATTAGGCTGCATGTCTATTTAGCTAAGAAGTAAGAGCCAGCATGAATTTTTGATTCTACACCTTTGCAGAGGCTGTGGTTCTCACAGAGCTGCTGTACATTTAGGGCCTTATAAATTATATTAAACTGGTTTAGGAGTCATGGGGGCACCTCTCCTAATGTATGGAAAACAAACACTAAAGACATGGAAACTGAGCTTAAAGAAAAGATAGAAAACGCTGCAAGTTTTAAACCTATTTTCAGAGTTTTCTTTCAGTGTTAGCTACAGAAGGACCTTACTAAGTGCTACCACATTGTGCCTCATTTGAGGGTAAAGAGGGGAGGGAATGTAGAAACTTGAAAATAGTACTGCTTGGTACTTAGACAACAGAGAGATTCTTTTTAGAAATGCGTGAATATTTTGTGTAAGGTGGGAATTAGATGTCCTAAGTCTAATGGTGTATTTCACAGTAATTGGCTTCATAAAGCATCTAGACTTTAGTCTAATTTCCTCGCCAACTGGTCAGGTGAGAAGAGTATCTTCTGGATATGATAATCCAAGAAAAAACTGTCGCTTTTTTTTGAAGACTGTTACTTAAAAAAATAGATGGAGAACAGGCTTTGAACCATTTAGTCATTGACTCAATAAAGGCTTAGTGAATGTAAACCATGTGTCAAGCACTTACTAAGTCAGATATAGAGCAGTGAATATAGAAAACATAGACTTTGTCCACATGGGGCTTTTAGTCTAGTGGGAGACAAAGACCAAAAACAAGTCAATACATGCTGCCTATTATATCATCCTAAGCCAGAGTCTTATTTATTGCTTTTATAGAAATCATCCATAATCATGGGATTTTAACAGGGGAGGTTTCTCAGGGATGGTGCATAAGCCAAGTTCTGAAGAACAAGGAAGAAACCACCATGAGAGGAGCAGAGGGAGGCCTGCTACAGACAGAGGGAACAGTTGGTTCAATGCCAAGTCCCCCAGATGGGGAAGAGCTTTCTCTATTAGTTTCTTGGAGTTCAGAGTTTGGGTTTGTAGCTTTCCAAAGACATGAGCATCACCTGAGAGCTTGGCAGAAATGTGGAATCTCACCCCATCCACACCTATAAAGACACAGTGGACATTTTACAGGGCTTTGGGTGGAACCTGAGCACTATGAGCTGAGAAGCTCTAGATTAGAGGAACGTGAAGGAGGCTCCAGAGCACAATGGGTCAAGACATAACAGAGAAGGGTCAGGATTTGAATGTCCCCTAAAGATTCAGATCTGGACCTGCCCACTCTTCTATCCCCAAACTGGTCTTGTTTGTATTTCTGTTTTTAAAGGAAGTTATTTAGCTTCTCTTAATTCTTCCTTTAATATTCGCCCTACTCATAAAAGGAAGCTATCGTTAACCTTGTTGAATAGATGAGGAAACTAACTATCCAAATGTTGAAGATTGGTCAATGAGTGTTGCTCTGAAAATTGTAATGTTGGATTAAGAGTCTATTATTTCTCAGTTATTCATAAAACAAGCAAATTGGTTAAATTAATGCAATTTTAGAAAAAAAAAAGTCTTTTTCTATACAAACTTAAGAGTCTCAAAGTCCAACTCTTTTGAAAACTTAGTAACAAGAAAACGTTTTAAGGGTCTAAATGAATAACTGGTTTATCTCTGCTTGCTTTTCGCCCCAGAAGAGGATGCATTCCTCAAAGCACAGTGGTTTACATCTTCCCTGGGCACCTGTGTCTCTGACTGGCTTTGTATCCTTAGCCTCATGGCCACAGTGTCTTTAGGTGACTAGTACTTTTCCCTGACATTGGCTCTTCCTGTTCACATTTCCTTCATCACCCAACATTTACAATAGCCCAAGTTTGGCAAGCCTATGATCTTACTCTGATTTTGTTCCTAACCCTTATAGGAAAATTCCTTGGATTAACATCTATGCCCAAGTACAACATGACAAGGAGCAGGAGATGATCGGGTCAGTGAGCCAAAGTGAAAATGCCCCCAAAATCACACTCAGTGACTTCACTGAGCCCGAGGAACTGCTGGAAAAAGAGTTGGACACTCGGGTCCTAGGTATGTATGTGTCCCTGTGCCATCAAGGGCCTGAGTCCTCTGTCCTCCAAACACTTGGTCAGCCAGTGCATATTACCTGTCCCCTAGACACTATGGACTGGAAGGCTAGAGAAGAATTTGTCTGGCACTTTTGGCCACATAAAATTGACAGACTTTTTCCCCTTAGAATTCAATCAAGATTAGAAGTTCTGGGGTTGCTGCATGGCAGGGATAAAGCCAATTATCCATGACTGTTGGATTTTTTTGTTTGTTTCCTATAAAGCAAAAGCATTATATGTCCTTGTTAATAGTCACATGAATGCAGAATCTGACATCGGATAGCCCTTGCTTTGCCACTGCACTATCTCTGGGGCCTCTCTGTGCCACGTATTCCTCAACTGTGAAATGGGAATAACAGGACCTAAGATTCTATGGAATTTCTATCTAGTGTCTGAGAATCTATTTTGAGATTGCTGTGATCATCAAATGCTGCTGTCAAATGCTCACTGCCCCACAGTGAGTGTTGGTACATGCTACCTATTGCTATTGTTCTCCATAGAGCGTAAACATGGCAGCCCATGTGTGGGTTCTCCCTGTGATTGTGTGAGAGGTGGTGGGTACTACATATGGATGAGATGAATTGGTGAGCTGAGGGGAATATCTAGGAGCCCTGTTTATTAAGTACCTAATAAGTACCTATTCCACGTGGCTTAATATTTAATAATGAATAAAACGAAGGTCCCCACCCTTGTTGAACTTACATCCTTTCTGTCTGTCTTCTCTCCCCTGCAGGAGGCATCGCAACCATTGCGAACAGCGAAAGCACAAAGGAGATCCCCAACTGTACTAGTGTTTAACACCAACAAGCCACGTGGTCAACCACCTTTCTGACTTTTTATTTTTGATGACTATTATTACTATTATTATAGAAAAATGAAAAATGTCTTTTTTACCTTTTGTTTACCAAGGGCCCCCTCATAAATCCCAGGCAGATGCTTAGCTTTGGAGAAAAAGGCATTCTTAGCTGATTAAAACGAGACAAAAAGAATCAATGGCTGTATTTGTGCTAAAGGCAAAGGATGCATCTTCCCACAGCCTCCTCGCTTTATTCTGCCATTTGTAACGCAAAGACTCTCTTTTTCCTTGTGGTGTCTCTCTCGCGCTCTCTTTTTAAAATTCAAGTTGGGTTTTGGCTTTTCATTAATCTGCTATTACCCCCCCCCCCCCAAGGTCACCAACACTCCCATGCCCTGGCACACACTCATAAAACACAAATCATTTCCCAGTTCGATCTGCAGGAGGTAGGTTGGTGGGGAGTGGACTTAGCTGCAGGAAGCGTGCACACCTTTCTAAAGAGGCCCTGCCTCGTGCATGTCCATAGCGAGGCTGCAGATGGCTTATTGTACATAACATACAGTGTAAATAGCTTTTTATTTCCTGAGAAATAATTTAATGTTTAGTAAAAAAGAAAACAGAAAAAAGAAAGATGCGCGTGTTGGCTTACGCACTCACCCTTGGAGCTGCCCCACCCCAGGCCTGCTGGATGTGTTGGGTTCTGGATGCTCTTCAGCTGTCTGTCACACTTAACTCTTGCACCTCCGTGTCCGCACCATAGCTGGTTTCTACTTATGTATATAAAGGGGGGCGGGGGGAGGGCTTCTTTGGGGTAATTGATAAAGGAAGGACTCTAGTGACACCATGAAAGAATGACATGGAAGAAGTTGCAAGATGAGGTCCACGAGAGACTGCAAACGAGATCCAGATGGTGAGGCTTCCTTTCTAAAAAGAAAAAGGTTGAGCATATTGATCAGCCTGAGAAAACGGTCCTCTTGAAAGAAGCCACACAGTGGATCTTGTTTTCTCATTAGATCCCATGGAATGTATGATGCTTACGGCAAATCCTCAGGCTACTCTTGGCTGCGAAAAGTCCCCTGGGCACTAATTGAACCCAGTGAGTGCCTCTTGGCATGAGGAGAGTAGAGAGATTGGAAGGGAGGAAGCGTTTGTGGAATCCCGAGTCCATGCGAACCCTGCAGGCCAAATAGAGGTCTAGCCTTTAATGATATTAGTCAAAGACGATTTTAGCAAAGCTGTGCTATTTGCTTGTCAGATGTACACAACTTCCTTAAAATGTCTGCCTTCAGTTCCCTTAAGGTAGTTCTTGCCTCTGGGGTGAGCAGCTTTCCAAGCCCCTATTTGCTTTTCCAGCTCCTCAGCCCCTTCACACATTCGACATACCAGTTCTTTTCAGTAGGTCACTGTAAGCCATGCTGTTAGACTGTTTTTAGTTTCAGGCTCAGCCTGAGCACATTTGTTTAAAGAAGGATATACTGTATATATATATGGAAGGAAAGGCCACGTTTTATACCTGTTCATTTTTGTGGGATGTCGTTTGCATTTCTCTTTGTGAGATACAGGGAGAATGCAACATAGAGAATCTCAGCTGGCGACGGCACAGATCAGTATTGGGAGTGCTTCTGAAGATCCCACTTCTTTGTTTCAGGGGTTAAATGGGCAGACAATTGCAATACTTGTACTAAACACTGGAATACGAATGCATGAGTCATATCTATATATACAGTATATGTACATATACTGTTCTTGGTTTTATTGTTCCATTTGAATATTTCTACTGTAAAAAAAAAAGACAGTGGTTTTGAAATTGTTGAAAATAAATGTATTTTTGTACATCAAAGCTACACACTTGACTGAGCTGTCTCTCTTTGGGCAGTTTACCTATTCTGTCCACAAACATTGCTGCAATACTGTTATATGCAAAAAAAAAATGGCTTGTAAAAACAGATATTTATCTTTCACTCATGATTCCATCCTCAGGTTGGCTGTGGCTGGGGTGAACTCAGTAAGGCTCACTGGGCCAGCCTGAATTCAGGATTTGGGTAGTTTGAGTTCAGTCCATGAGTCATCATCACTCTGGGACCAGGATCTATCTGAGGATGGATGGTAGAGTTCCAAATGGGGCCAGCAAAACCCCTGAGGCCTCAAGAGACTTGCTCAACCCAGTCATTCCATTTCCCTTTACTCGCATTACATTGACAAAAGAAAATCACATGGCCAAGTCCAACATCAGTAGCTAGGGAAATAGGTTTTCCTCCTCTGGTGCATGGCACAATTCTTCTAAAAAATTTCATAGCAAAAGGTAGAGATGAATAGTCCTAATATATGGAGTGCATGAAAAATCGAGAACCCCAATTCAACTTATTATACCTGTTCATGTTCTACAGCTCTAGGAAGAGTTTTTATTAAATGACCCACTTGAACCAGTGTCCAAGTTTCCCAACCAAATGTGTGTATCCTGGCTTTCTGAGCAGAACTCTTGGCAACTGCAGGGCCTTGGAGTCAGGTACCAGTTACCAGTGAGTGGTAGAGACCGAACTCCAGTTCAGGCAGTGAAGATGTAAGTGGGGGAAATGAAAACAGGAGAGGAAACCAACAAATTTGACCCTCTTCTTCCTGCTGTTTGATGAATAAAACCAACAGCAAATCTCCGCCTTTAGGCCTTTGCTGAATGGGCAGCTCCTCTCCACACTAGGTAGTAAGGGGATGTGGACAAAGCGTTCAGAACAAGGTCTGTAAGTTGGATGATTTTTATTCATTTCATGTTTAAAATACATGATAAATGTCCTTAGATCCCAGAAACCCAATAAGCCAGAAAGTTTTGTTCAATAATTTGATATTATGTTTTGGAAACTAGTAAACTATTCTGGAATAATGTTTCTTTCTTTTTTTTTTTTCTGGGGGGATTACTGGAGATTGAACTGAGAAGGACTAAACCACTGAGCCACATCCCTAGCCCTATTTTATTTTTTATTTAGAGAGAGGATCTCACTGATTTGCTTAGTGCCTCACTTTTACTGAGGCTGGCTTTGAACTCAGGATCCACCTGCCTCAACTTCCCGAGCTGCTGGGATTACAGGCTAGAATCCTGTTTTCTAAACTCAAACTGAAGATAAAACAGGTATTTTTATTTCCATTTAGGACATTATATAGAAATTATGGATGATTCTTGGCCTAACTTTCTTTGTGCTATCGTCACCTTTTCAAATTTTTACAGTCTACAAGTTTCTTTCTCAGATATTGAAAAGGTTATTTAGATATCTCAAGAAAGATGTAATAGACTTTTTTGGTCTAATGATTCATAACTCAAAGTACCTATACTACTTTAATGAATTTTTAATTTGGAATTTCCTAAGTAATAATGTAAAATATCTAATATTCCTATCTCAAGGTAAAGATGAATTTTTTAAGTACATAAGATTTAGCTTCCCAGTGGGATCTCAGTTCTCCTGCTAATTTAATGTCTGGGTTGGCAAAGGTGCTGCACCAGATTAAAGATAATGAAAGGGAAATAAAGCAGTAAGTAGAACAGTCTGAGTCAGCTGGATCATTTGAGCCAAGTCATGGCTAAGAATATAGACTCTGTGTCCACCACCAGCAGGAGTCTGTCATATTTACCGGTAGTGGACAGAGGCAAAGGCAGAGGGTAGAGATTGGCTTTGTTTCTATTTCTTTTCTTTTTTATTAAATTTTTTATTCTAATTTGTTATATATGACAGCAGAATACAATACAATTCATATTACACATATAGAGCACAATTTTTCATATCTCTGGTTGTATACAAAGTATATTCACTATGCAGGGTTCTCACCAGTGAGGACCCTTCTCTAAGGCAATTCTAGACCTGATAACTAAGCCTGCAGACACACGCTGTGGCTGCAGCCACCTTGTCAGCACCATAAATAGATTCTCCCATGATTCTCACATGCATGGAAATTTGAGGATAACTGCTTTATCCACCACTAAAATAGCTCAGGAAGAGAGGTTGGGCAGAAGTCACCTTCCCCAACTCTATTACCATGAGACAGGCACTTTCATGTGGAGAAGTGAGAACAGCTTCCAGATGTGCTCATTTCCTCCTGGGCAATAGCTACAGAATTTTGAGAGTCACCCAACTGTGTTATCTGGGACAAAAGCACACTACTAGTCAAGGAGGTGATGGATCATGCCTTGGAAAGAAAATCGAGCCCAGAATTAGGAGTTCTCTGAGTTTCAGCAAGTTGTTCTGGACCCTATTTACTCTATGGCCTGACTTACTGGCCTGTTTTGATTTCCAGAGATGTGAGAATCACATTGCCAATTTCAAAAGCATTGAGAGCTACTAGGTGTCCTAAGGGAAACATCCTCCCTCTGCAGAGGGGTAAATGAGACGTAGAGAGGAATGTGACTTCCCTGATATTATACAGCAAATCACTGCAGAGCTAAAGATAGAATCCATGTATTCTTTATGATAAAGCAAGGCTCTTTCTACCACATAACTCTTTAGAAATGCAAAACTGACTGCAGGTCATTGAGAGTCACTAGAGAGCCCAATGGTTGTGCCAATATGTCTCCCACACTTATAATGTCCAGAAGGGATAAGAACGTAACATCCAATGTATGCTCATCATTCAGTGGCTCAAAGCCCTCTTCCTGCTTTGCAGCCCATGACCTGATTGCCCTCTTCCCCCTTTGCACTGAAATAGGCTGTTCAAAAGACAGCTGCTGGGCCCCAGCTCATGGACAGGGCTGCTCGCCTTTGAAAGCTATTGACATTGTTCAGAGGGAAGATGGCCAGAGAGCAAATACACACAATGGAATTTCCTCATCCTGACATGTATCAGGTTTTTCCAAATCCTCCTGTCTGTCCCACAGTATAGCCAAAGGGGACCAGAGGTGGCCCAACAATTACCTCCCAAAGCTCTACCACATCTTGGTGACTTCTAAACAAACTTCAATTACCTTTTTTGTTTTGGGAGAGTTAACACTGTGTTTTCAGAACATATATCATGATGAGATACAAGTTTATTCAGAGAGGAAACAATGGAACATTGTATTTTTTTTTAAAGGTGCAAACTGTCTGCAGGAATTCAATTCATTTGGAAACTAAAGTCTCAATAATAGTTGGATTCACTCCTTTTTCAATTATCTGAGTCCCAGAGGGGTACAATGACATAATCAGGGTCCATATCTCTATTTATAAATTGATTATAATGACATCTAATTCACAGGGTTGGAACCTGGATTAAACGAAACCATTTGGGTAAACACATACAAATAATGAATGGGTTCTGAAAAGCTCTCCGTCGGTTGCACTGTCTCCTTGTTCATACAACACAGTATCTGACCTCGAGTTTAAAAATGATGCAATCAGCCTCTCTCTTAGGGCTGTATCTCCATGGAGGAAAATAAATCAGAATGACTGGAGAGAGATTCCAGCTCCCTTTCAAGGAAGAGCATTTTGGTTAAAATGTACTACTTACATGTGGATCCCAAACATCAGTGCTGCTTTTATTGATTTCTTTCCTAATGTAACTGGTCTAATTTTGCTTGGGCTATAAGGAAGGGACAAGAGATGGGCTCCTATCTTCTGGGCTGCCAGGAATGCCTCATTAAACCGAAGACTGGAGGCTCTCAGTCTCTGAAACCTGCTCACTCTTACCCCGTGGGGCTGCCCTGGATACAGTTTTGCTAATGGGTTTGGCTTTGCCTGACCAGGCAACTTGTCTCAGGTGTTTTCAAGTCTAACTTGCATCCCATTTACTCCCCTTTCTCAAACAATGCTTTTGGGATGACATGCATTTCCAGGTTCTGAGGACCCACAGAGTTTCTCTGAGAGTCACTGACTTAGGTTCCTTTGTGCACACTCAATGAAAAACAATCTGATAAAAACATTATTTGTGGACATACACCTGCTAGGCACTCAGGGGATCTGAATTCCTGGTTCCAGAGTGCCTTCAGCTTGGTCACAGTCAAGGAGATCTGCTCTAGAGAGTGCATGGAAAAATGCAGATTCTTTTCAAAATGTCAGTGAGGACAGGAAAATTGATCATGACAGGCACACATGCTATCAGTCATTACAGCCTAGTCTCTGGGGAACAACATTGTTTGCAGCTCTACTGGAAATGAACCAAATAAAGTGGGGCCTTCAGTGATTTGCTCCTGAGAAGATCAGATGTCTGTCTGGTCCCCCAAAGAATAGAGATTTCATTCACTGAAATGCTTGTGTCCAAATTGTCCTATGTGCAGAAAGCCGTAGGGCTCCAGAGATTTCGTACCACCAAGAAGCTCCTACTTCTCCTCCCTAGGGCCCATCCCAGAAGACTCTTCCTAAGGTGTAGCATCTTTTGTTGTTCACTTCCTCTCATCTGCAAAGGGTTGTTGCTGTCAGTGTCCCAGGAGCTGGGTGCAATTAACACTCTGTCTAACCATGCTGGATTAGCAGAGAAAGGAGGCCACTAGGGCAGCAAACTAGAGAAAACAGGATTGTTCTTGTCACCAATGTGTCCTGTTTGGTTTCTATGTATCATCACCTGGGAAGCATATCATTGTCTCCATAAACAACACACCTGGCCAAAATGGTTTCCTCACAGTCCTTTCAAAATCTTATGGTTCAATTAGAGAATTTCTGGGTTCCTTCCATCAGCAGCTGGAACTTTGCAAGGGAGGAGCAGCAAGCAAAGACCATGGGAGAGGGGGGATCTAGAGAAATAAAGTTAATCTTTGTCAATTACAAAGCTCCATTCGACACATTCTCATTTCAACATGTCAATTTTAGAGTCTCCTCTGTGAGGGGAAAATACAGATGCTCCCCAGATTTCTAATCTATTTATAATGGTAACAAGGCAACTCGAGGCAGCGTGT